AGATAGATATAGATTTATTTCATTTCTTCGAAAAAATTTCATTTAAAAGAGATCGCATATAATCCAAATCCAAATTCTAGACCTCAGAATTTTGATTTAAACCAAACGTATTTTATATATATTAGGAACCAATCCAAGAAGAAAATTAAATATTCTTTATTCGTCTCGCCTCATGGCTCTCTTCTCACATAATCTGCATAAGTCATTCCAAAATACAATTCTTTAAATCATGATTTATTTCAAATAAGAATTAATTCAAATAATATTTAAAGATTTAGATCATCAATCTTTCATTCAGAATATGCGTATAGATAATAATCATCGATTATTTATCGCAAATCATATATAAAATTATAGAATCAATTTTTTTATATAGAAAGAAATGAAAATATTTAATTCTAGATGAAAATATTCAGAAAGCTATTCCGAATAAGAAATTCCAAAAAGAACATATTATCAAGAAATTGACGAATATAATTCATAAGAAAAGAAATTCAAGCAATCCATAAAAGAAATTATAATTCTCAAAATATGATATAAAATATATTCACGAAAGATATCATAGAATATAAATCGAAATTTTCTCAGAATTATTTTCCTATATATATATATAATTATGATCAGAAATACTTAATAATTTCTGAAATTTTCTTTTATCTAGAAATAAATTCCTCGAGCAATTTGAAAATCTAAGAATCCAATCATTGCTGTTGAATAACGAATATATTTTCAAATGAAAAATACGATTTTTATAAATGATATTATATATAATATCGAATTATATGATTTTTTATGAAATTTAATTCTTTAATATTTACTCAATTCTTATATTCAATTAATAATATAATGAAATTACGATCTTATTTATTAATTGAATATATAATCTATTTATTTTACGATAATCAAACTATAAATTTCTTATCTTATAAAAATACTTAATTTAGAAGACCTCTGAATCCGACCGTATCGAATTTCAAATTTATTAATTTCATAATTTATTCAACTTTCTTTGATATCTTCTAGAAATGATTTTCTAGTTAGAAAGAAAAATTAACATCTTATTAGAAATCAGTGAAGATAATTGAAAATTCATAATCAGAAGATCACTCTAATTTCAATTAGCTAACTCTAGAATAGAAATTCATTATTATAATTTAAAATCTCGCAGAAAATTCTTTGAAAAATCAAAAGAAATTGAGAAAAAAAATTATTTTTTTTTCTTCTCAAATCAAATCCCGTAAGAATCTATAATAATCAGAAATTTATGATAATCATAGATAGAAATTCTCCAAATACCTCAATCATCATTATTCATTTTTAGTCCTCAACTTTTCATTAAATTAATCAGAATAATCAGAGAAATCGATATTTTCCCCATTTCACGATTCTTATTATCATCAATTCTAGATCTTCCATATTCTCAATAATCGTAAAGAAATTCATTTTATAATCAAACATAATCCAAATTTCAAAATCTATAAATCAATACCAATTGGAAAAAATAAATATCCTTTTTGAAATTACGCGTATTATTTGAAATCCGATATCATAATTTTCTCAATCTTTTTTATATAGAATCCATTCAGAAATACCATTAGATATATCTATTTTTTGTCATTGATATATCATCATCTTTAAGCCAAATCTCTATATCAACGTATCCCAACTAATTGAAAAATATGACCGATTATTAGATCCGGCACATCACGAATAGGATTCGAATATTTCTATCAGGCCGAGAAAAAACGCAATTAATAACTATAATCACAAAGGTGCGACAAGTTCGAGAAACCTAGAGATCGACAGATTGACAGGCCGACGCACAAACAGATCGACCCACCGGCAACTTCACCGATAGCAAGACTGCTGAAGCGACGGACCTTCTGATCGTGTGACGGACGACAAAGTGACACACCATCAGAACGACGAGATAAAACAGGCGGAGAGAGAGGAAAGGGGGCTGAAGGGCCCTAAACTCTCGTGAGCTTTAGTAGAGCGCCGGAAAAAAGCTAGGCCCCGCACGAGCGACATGGCCTCAAGTGGCCGTGCTGTGTCATTGAGGCATATTCTATCTCGATGATGATGATGATGATGGTAAGGTGTTTGGATTAGCCGCCCTCTTCCCAAGTCCCACGTAAAACAGGCGCACAGTACAAACAAAGCGGCTCACCTCCGGAAAACTTTCATCTTACGCCATGGCTCATAAACGTAGCAAGGGTGTCGGCTAGATGAGAACTAATATCATTGCTCCCTAACCCAAAACAAACGGAGTGGCATATGACGCTCATCAAACATGTTCAACGCATAGTCCTGCACAGGCGGTTTCTTTCCACGGGCATGTGGCACCGTGTGTACTGGACAGAGGCATGCTCTGTCGGGTCAGGAGACGTGCTTCCCCCCTGGCAGAAGGAAACCTCTAGTATAGCCCGGAAACATCCCGCACGTTCCAGCACCCAATCTTCCATTGACATACGTTTTTACGACGATATCCCCGCCCCACTCCGCGCGGTTGTCTCACCGCTTGTAGGATACAACGATTTCGCAAGCTTCAATGTCCTCTACGTAGCCTCGACACCCACAAACGCATGTGTTTGATTAAAGCTTCCGGCCTCTGGGGCTAGTGAACCAAAGACCGAAATACCCCGACCCACGTGTTTTCGCCCGATGACCCGCCCGAAGGTCACCCGGCCCAGGACCCCCCGAGCACGCGAGCGGCAGAAAGTCCAGAAATGGGACCCCTGCCAACACTCTTGCGCTCTCGCAGCCCGCCCGATAAACGTGCCCAGCCGAAACAAACCTACCTGGGTGGTACCGGTAAAGAGTTGATGGCCACTCGCCACACTACTGTCAAAACACCCCACAAACGTGGACCAGTTTTTGATCCTGTGGCACCCTCACGGGTATGGAGTTCGTCATGCTCTAGCAGTCCATACTCACGACCCACGCGTTGCAGAAAATGCAGCCGAGGCACGTCCTAAATAAGGCAACCTACGTCAAAAACAGAATTCAGTTTCAGCCAATCCATATTCGCGTGTCCACCCCCTCGCCCCCGAGGAGGACTGCCATCACGGGGGGCGCATATTCTATGTCCTCAAATGATCTTACGTAATTAAACCGATTCAAATCAAACAACTATTCTCCTTGCAAGAACAATCTTGGCAAGCGCAAAATTAAAGCGATTTTGCAGGGGAAATAATACAACTCAAATCCTTACACGAAACTAGTGAATTTATACTTAATCCAAAAACTCTGCAAACTAGTGCTATTACGTAGAAAATTGACCGACTTCTTCATCTGAGTCTCCATTTGAAAGTTACATGTCAAAGGCACATGTCTTCCTAAGTGTCCTTGCTCTTCTTGTCATAGCATATGCCGCCTGAGTTACTCTGACAAGACATTCAGGATAGCAAGTATCGTCTCATGGTTACAGAGTGCTGCAAGGACCTGAGCATATTTGACATATGACATATAATGACAAATCGTAAGCACTCCAACGGCAGATTCAACAAACCAATATCCGCTTCAAGATCATTCTGTTGGCTCATGAGGGTGAGACTGTGTACCGGAGTTCCAAATCCTTGGAGCCATACGACGACAAGTGACTTGCCCATACATACAAGAAGCTGATGTCTGCAAGGCCCAGGCTTTCTGACATTGTCTTGCCTTGGAGCAACCATGGCAGCAAGCCAAATAAAGCTGAACAAGCGTGGCGTGCATAGCTCAACAAGAACAGCACTGCTTCAAGTTGAAACCGGGAGGCCTCTTCCTTCGCGGCCATCATGGCGTCCTCGTCATCACGTTGCCTGAATTGGAACTGCAAAGCCACCTGAAAGACTCCAAGTCTCTAATCTTGGCAAGGTGCGGCTTGAAATAACCGCCAAGGATGTCGTGACCTCCCACATTGATCCGTGCCTGCTATTGGAATGAAGTCGCATGGCATATGTTGAGGCAAGGTATGCATTCAATCACCTTTAAGACTGCGCTCATCATACAGCGAGGTCGTTGGACTAGATGCCGGAAATACAGCTCACGCTCAAATCACGTGTGGGACCGATTCATTACACCTGAGCTGAAATTTTCATAATATTTCACAATTACAATGTCAATGATGAGGTGGCCTCCCAACCTTCCACACCACTGTGCCAACGGACCTCGCAGGCAAGGCCATTGAGGACATCTTTTGGTCAAATGTAGGCAGCGAAATTCGGGCTGCTCGCGCCGAATTCTAAAAAGAGGGATGCGAGGTTGATGGACAATCCTTGCCTAGACGTGTTAGCATTCAGGAACATGTCTGCATGCATCTTGAACACAAATTCTCCTACCTCGAGCTTCTTCTGAATTCCTGGAAATCTTCTGACGCTGATGATTCCTAAGTCCAGGCCGCAAATTGGAAGGCTTCATAAGCAAATTCTAGGATTGCTCAGATCTTTTTACGTGCCCAATGCATTTTTTTGGAAATCTCGTATATGATCTTGAGTGAGTCCCATCAAGTGAGGCGTCGCTGCCATAGAAGCCAGCATTGGATTATGAACATTTGGAATTGGATGCTGCCAGCTTTGAAAAGACAGAGTGTAGCCCGTGCTCTACTCCGAAGACGTGAAGCCGACCTCCAGGTTATCGGGCGACTCCACTGTGATCTCGTTGGCCCCTGGCTCCTCGAAGTGGCGATTGTTTGAAACATTCAACTCAATTCCAAGCTTCATGAAGAAGGATTTTGCAAAAAATGGGAGCCACATCTTTCTTTGTAGTTTTCATGATTGCAATGTGGCAAGCAATGTGGCAGCTGCACTTTTTTGGAAGTCCGCAAGGTAGGCTGGGACCATCATACGGCATCGGCAGAGAACGAGGCAGACTTGAAAACTGCGCGATCACCAGTGGCTTGTCTTCCTTCCGAGCCTTTCACAAAAGAGCGCAAGGGGACTCTTCTGCATACATGTGGTGCATGGTGGTTTGCAATATTGTGCAAGCGAGCCGAGGTGCATGGTCATTCCAACGAGCAGTCATATCACGCTGCACAGCTCCGAGGAGTGGAGCTGCTCATGTCCCATAGCCTTGCTCGAACACAGCATGCTAGGCACTCCGGCAGTCGTCACTCAACTTCCCATGCCCACTACGGCTTTTGCGAGATGAACTCTTGGGCCAGACGTCGTCCCTCATGTATGTAAGACTTGTTCATCCATAGCCCGGGGTACTACCGAGACACAATGACCAGCTTGCGTTCCTCCCTACGTCCGTAGATCAAGGTTGGCTCTCAAAAACTCTGTCATGGCATTTTACGTGCATGGTTTCACATTGACAAGCACCAAGAAATCAAATAAACACAATCCTCTTTCTACCCGAGTACGTTTCAACAGGACTTCTGCTGAAACTTTCGGCGTTCCGCAGTTTCATGAAGACTCCAGTTCCGTTCACGAAAAATTGTTTTTTTCCCCTGCAAGAGTGCATCAGCGGATGGGCCTGCTTGATCTGCCCAATGGTGAGGAGGGCTTCCTGCGTTGAGTCGAAGGTGCGCTTCTCCACACTCAATCCACAGGCCCACTCTGTGCCACCCAGCCATTCACCTTAATTTGAGTTTGTATCTGAAAGCTCATCATAATCATAGCGCGGGGCAGTGAAGCAGGAAGATTTCTGGGCCCACAAATGCGAGGCACGAGCATCCGCAGTGCTCAAGGCATGATTCTTTGCGACGTAGTCAACCTCAGAGACGTGATCATGACTACTGCATCTGTTGATGCCTGTCTCGTGCAAGCTAACCAGGACCAGCACACGGTTTCCGGCGTGATATGCTGTGAGCTGGCAACCCTTTGAGATCGAGAGTTGAATCTGTTCGAAAATGCTTCAGCTGATTGCTTGTCAAAATGGTTCACGCTTTCTTTAGAAAGCTGACTTCTTATGCTGCAAAGCGGCAGTCTTGTTGCCAGCGTTCTCCTGCGGAATGGTGCTTCAGGGTTCGCTGTTGAATCAATAACTCTGCATCAATTCATCAAGTGCTTCCACCGCAGGAAAAAACTGGGTTCCGCCTTGAACTCATCGCAAAGCTCCTTCGTCACCTCAACCTCATACAGTAAGGCCAGGAAAGAATCTGCTTGCAGCAGAAAGCCCTTACTATCCCTTCTGGCTAGCTTCTTCATGTACAACATGCATCGGCTCTCCAGGGGAATTTCTTCAAACACTAGCAGCCAGCAAAAAGGAACAAAGTAAACATCACTGCCACCATGCTTTGCTGCTCTTGTTTTTGAGCACGCTTTCCCATCTCCTGAGGCTTTGGCAAGGTGTCGAATCTCAGCCTCTGCCAGCTGAGCAGAGATAGTAGGTACAACATCCTGCACAACCTTGTTCTTGAAAAGCTATCCCAAATCCATTGGGCCAAACCCCCCACAAACCCAAAGTGCGGTTGCAATTATGCGGGGCATGCGCTTAATCAGGGCAGCTTCCCGGGCCTGCTTGGTGGCAATCGCTCGGTCGGAGGCCACAAAAAGGAAGCAAGGCCATGGGGTGGGAACCTGGCCGGCGCCCAAATCATGATATTTCCCAAGCTTGCATATGCTGCACGTGTGCTTGCAGAGGGAACACATCTCACGCAACCTGGGCGTGGGGCTTGAATGCATGCAACACTCATCCAACAGAAATGTACTGCCCTGCCTCCCCGATGATATCCCATTCCTCAAGTCCCGATGGACGCACCAACCCACAAGCAAACTGGATGGGTGCTTGCTGTACTCCCCTAAGCCAATGGGGCAGCTGCCATTGTTGCAGTAGCCAGTACACTATTCCAGCAGCCAAGTTTTGATACAACGTTTCTATTGTGACGCAGAAGAATCTTCCGCTAAAGCTGCAGCATGCTACGAGCTTCGATTTAGGTGGGAAGCTTTAAAATCACAGCCCGAGGTTCTCCGCTGTCCACCAGGTGCTTGGTGGTAAACTTCTCCCAAAGCCAGGCATCAATCTCATCCTTGCCCATCGCTTCCCGGGCGCCGTCAAGCGTTCCCACCTGAGAAGACCAGAACAGCCCCGGTTGAAAGCAGTGGTAAGACGTCAAGCCCCCAGCGATTCTAAGTGGTGCATCTGTCGCCGGAGACCATCCTGGCGCGCATCTGCATTTTCTGTTGTGCAAAAAAACACTTTCGGGAATGATCCCCCACTGCCCCTTCCTAGCTCTTGCGCCAAAGCGCCACCAATTGCTCTCTGAACCTCCTGCCTTGCTGGTGAGCAAAGACATGCGCCATGAGATGTGAGCCGCTCAGCATTCGGGAGACGCCAAAGATTTTGCCCTGCAGGGAACCCAGACTCTCAAACAGATTTCTTGAATTTCAAGCCTATCGCGTAACAGAAAAAAGGTTAAACATTAATTTCCTTCCGTTAGGGGGGCCACCTGTCATCATCGTCTCATAACGCCTAAACATACCCAAAGGTTTCTAAAATGATGCCCTGTTCTGAGAATCCCGCTTGCACATCCTACAAGCCCTGCTACAAGCTAGTATCTTGCAACTGTACATGTGTCATATCTCAAAATTTGTATGAGGGCGGACGTCACAAATTTGACTCCACTAGGCAGGGCTTCCCCTCATTCAAGGGACATGTTAACTAGCGTTAAGATCACGGCTGTCACCAAGAAACTGTTTTTGAGCGGGCCTTGAGCTCGCTGGGCTTCTTGATTGGGCTGCCTTGCAACTTGAATTCTGAGAGTTAAAGCTTGTCACGGACCCTACCAAGAAGTGCAAACTGATCTTTCAATGGCTGTTCTATCATTCAGTGCAAAACCACCAAGTCATGACTGCACCAACATTTTTTGGAGGGTTCGATTGTGATTTAGACTTCCTTGATGACATCTGTCTCTACATCAGGCGCACTTGAAAGGTGTTGCCATGTGCCATACCGTCATCGGCATCCCATCCAGCCTCGCTTGACATGAATGCCCCAACGCCTCAGCGGAGGCGCGCAACTGTGCCCTCGCAGAGCTCTCCTTGCCTTTGAATACTGAATGCGTCCTGCAGCGACAGAAGTCTTACAGCACGTCCCAGAACGCAAATCTGCCTTTGAAATGGTTAGCAAGGCCCGCGCAACGGCGACTTGACGTATGTGCCGATGACCTCCGAGGATAGAATTTTTCGGGTTTCATGGTTTCAAGCTAGTGGTTTAGGCTGCCAACCCGTGGAACTCTAAGATTGGCCACTGAAGGTTGTTATTTGGTTAAAACTACAAACCCTAACCCAAACTTGACTGCCGAAGAGGCGGTTTAAAGCAACAATAAGACCCTATTCGACAGTGTGCCCTGGCAGGGGCAAAAACTTTTCTTTGGCAGCTATACTTGGCTTCTCGAATCCAGAGCTGCATTGGATTACGGAGGGGATTGTGATCTGAGTGCCCTGCCTTGCCAGCCAAGCAACTACAATTCACAGGTAAGAACATATGCTTGCATCAACCATGACAACTCTTACTCTTGAGCTGCTGTTTCAGGAAGAAAACAATTAAAATGACGCTGATAATCTGATTGGGTATTGTAGATCCCCTGGCTTCTTGTGAACAATATTATACTAGCAACTCACGCGGAATCATCATCCCAAAGCCAAAGCTGCGGATACAAGGCTTCTGAGTCTACCGTCTGATGAACCCGAAGCTCAAACGAGGAAGGCCTTAGTCTTGGAGCCATCCACAATGCGGGCCACGGCTCCCTCGGAAAGCATCACTGCCACATCCACCTGAAAATTCTCAAGTTCACCTAGTGCTATTTGGATTCAGGATTCAAGGGCCATGACAACTTTGAACGCTCCCATAAGTCAATACTGGCCTTTGCGGTCTGTAAACTGCAATGATGCTATAACGCAAGCTACTCATGTCCCAAGACCGACCCAGCAGTGTAATGTGTGCAATGAGTTAGTGTGGAGAAAATGCTCGAGAAGGCTTTTTGGCTCAGATTTCATTCCACGGCTGCCCCGCAGCAGGCCTCGTCAGAATCGAGCTTCTGTCCCATTGCGCCCGTTCCCTGCGGTGTCATGTTCCACCTGAACACGCAAAATCTGAGCTGCAGCTGCCTGCTGCCTGTAACTGCAGCAAGATCAAGAACAGCAATTACAGCAAAAATGATGGCAATGACGACAACAACACAAGAACATGACGACAATAACGGCAACAGCAGAGAGCTTCATCACTCACAGCACCGAATTGGATTACTGTTGACCAAGTCATCCGTAAGCCCGTACATCCGCGAACCAACGATTCTCAAGAAGAGCTATGAATAAATGCAAGAGCGGCTGCAACCTGGGCTTACAATGTTGGGGCTCGGACTGCATGTCCACCCCTTTCGCTTCGTAGAGACCTCGCTCCTCAGGACATGCAGGTAAGCAGGAAGGACATTGGGTTATGTTGGCATTGATCCAAGCCCCAAAGCCCCCTATCTTGCAGTTAACACTGATGATGCTTCCTGCTTCTTCTTGTACATACGCCGAGCTGATGCTACTTCTGATGTTCATATGAATTGCGGATCAACAAACAGAGCCATACATGCAAACCACTTGACGCCCCAAACTTCAAACGTGAGACTGCTCACCACGAGTCATACCAATTGCATTCTTGGGTTCTGCCGGCTTCAAAGCACAGTTGTGGCTTATCTTTCGGGAAGGCGTGTAACCCCTACTCTCACCGCATGCAGTCCTTGGCAAGGTGGAAGGGGGCATTGAAGTGCTCTGGCACACCAGCCTCGGAACTGCTGTGGTCAAGCCTGCTGGTGGACAGTTGATGCCTGCCATGTTAGTAACTGCTAGTAGCAGGCCCTACCGGCCCTACCCTCCTGTTGACTTTAATGCTTTAAGCTCGGTGCAACTCGCAGCGTGCTCAGCGCCCGCCAGGTGTGCCAGGCACTGCGCTGGAAGCGCGTGGGAGCAAAAAGTGCCATGGCGAGCTATGCGCAGAAGGATAAATCTAAAACAAAAAGTCTACACCCTACACGTTGGAAGACTGCGCTCACTAAGGTGGTTGTAAGCAGAATGGAAGGCATACGTATGGCCAGCTCACTAGTGCGCCGGTAAGCCTCTCATGAGTTCAAGCTCTTTTGATATGCATTGATGTCGTTGCCTAGCAAATTGCTGCGGCCAAGGCAATCGGCAGAACTCAAAGTGAAAATGGCACCTGCAGCTGCACATGTAGAGGCTGATGCCAGTTTCACATTCACTGTCAGCAGCGTGGCGACATCAACAAACAGAAAGTTACCCGGTGTGCACCCGTCCTGCAAGTTCGTGTCTGAGACCTCCTGGTTACTTGAGCGAATTTTCCGTCCCAAGTTTAAGACGCATCTAGGGTGCGTTATGTTTTAGAACCAATTGACGCTTGGTAGGTGCATCTAGGGATCGCGCACCTTTCAAGGTGTGCTTGTTTGGTTAGTAGCGCTAAGGCATGGAAATGAACACCAAAACCCAGAATGTATCATCATTTTTGGAAGGGATAGGAGCTACGCATGTTTGCAAATGTAGGAGTTCCTGAGCACTGGAAAATCAGACACCAGTGACCAGTGTGTCACCAGCCCTGGGCAAGAAACCTCTAGCTCTTCATGATCGCGAGGCAGAAATTAAGGTCCCCCATATACACCCAGGCATGGCACCATAATCCCTAGTGCAGAGACGGTCAAAGGGAACCCCAAGCTCTCACATACACCTGGTAGAAACGAAGCTACGTCGTCATAATGTGCATTTAGAAAACTGCAAGAGCCGCAACATCACTCGGTGAAGCTTCTGATGCGTGTAGTATGAGAAGCTTCAGAATCAATTTCGAAACCTAATAAAAGCAGTGGCTCCTGAGCGGCGCCCCCGACAGGCTTAGCAAAGTCCTGTGCCAAGCTTTGCACGCAGAAATGCGGCAGTTCACCAAAGCAGACCACAAATCACGCAACAGAGCAAGTGTGGTCTAATGTGCTGCAAAAGCTCAGTGAAGGCCTTCTGACACATGCAAAACAGCAGAAGGTTCCGTCTGTGCCCACCTCCCATCCCAAGTCGTTTCGCAGCAGGTATGCCGTACCAGTCTAGACAGAAGCAGTATTGTAAAACGATGGGCAACAAAGCCCATGATTAGGAACTACACTGCGGTTCGTGATTGTGTTTCCTTCGCCTATCCTGTCAGATTGGCTCGATGACCTTATGTTTTTCGCTCTCTGGCTTAGATTGCAGCGACCAGGAATCCGGAGGTGTAGCTTAAGAAAAGCGTGGTCCCTAAGAAAGCCTGTGCTCCAAAGTCTTTAGATGGCTGACGAACTGAAGAATCCGAGCTCAAAAAGCAAGAGACATGCGCGGACCTCTTTGGGGCGTCGGTCTTTCTCCAAGCACTTCTCCACGTAGCGGATGAAGCCTTCAAAGTCCAAATGCTATTAGTATCAATGAGAACTGCATGAACCGTAGCTGGCAAGCAAAGATGGTCCATGACCGCTGTTGCACTTACGGAGGCGCTACAAACACACAAAGACTCGAATCGCTTCAACAAAAGGAGGCCGTGAACAGATCTGCTGTGGAAGGGTGCAACTATAGAGTCAGGAACAACAACCGCACGCCCTAGCAGCAGTTAAATTTCTTGTCCCTAGCATCACACAAGCACAGCAACAACTTTGAATGCATTCAACACTGCCGCCAATTGCATCGTCTACACTAGAAGATTTAGAAAACGTGCTTGATGCAAGAAATTCCGGATGGCCATGACAGATCTCACGAGCAACCCGCATCCCCAAAGGACCGAAAGACAAACTAGAATGGCAAGAGAATGTGCTCAACATTCCAGCCAGGATGGGGTCCAGAAGGGTGCTGCCTCCTGCATCTGCTTTTACTTTGCAGAACCTCCCATCCTTCCGTATACCTCACCAACCTCATGATGACGTAATGCTTGGCACAGCAACGTAAGACCCTAGAACCCCAAGCTACCTTCGGTTAGTACAAGTACAGAATAAGTCTTGGTTACATGCTTTCAGAATCAGGGTAATTCCAAATATTGTCCATGCGCTACTATTGCTATGAATCTAATCCAAAAGCTCATCTACGACTATTTGGAACAAGAGCATGTCGAGCCTTTGTTTGGCTTGGAGTGCCAGACGGGCTTTGCGTGCAGCACAGACTTGAAGAGCTGTGAGCGGATGCCTGAATTGTACTTCAACTTCCGGGGGTTCAGGGCTTATGTCTCAAAGCGGAAGCTTTGGGGATGCTTCTGAGATGATGCAATTTACTGAAACTTGCGTACATGAGCAATGAGCGCAATTGCATGCAATGTGCGAACTTCACAGCTGGCAACCTCAAAGCAAATACGATAGAAGACCGTTCTCTGCCAACCTTCCGAACAATCTTCTGCAAACAAACATGCTTACAACTGCAAGAAAAAATCATCGCCTTTTCACTGCAACCCCAGGCAAAACCCAAAACCTTCGGAATTCGCAAAGCTAACATGGTGGCAGTCACCTCTTGCCACTTAGCAGCCGTTGGATGCACAGAGAAAGGACTAAGTCTGGATAACAAATCCGAACGTTGTTTCGACAACTACCTTGAACATTGGGAAAACTCAACCCTACATTGAAATCCCGGGCATTCAGAAATAGATGGGTCAAGGGACCATAAGCTCATTCCCCATCTGCTATCGAGCTTTGCGCCTCTAAAAAGTTGCTTCCGATTCCCATTATCGGCACTCATCAGAGAACTCCTTGCAAGTCTTATACACAGGGAGCAGCTGAACCCAACAGCCTGAAACCCTAATCCGCAAACTTGCATCCCAAAAGCATCCACCGGAACAAGGAATACAGAGTAAATTACCTTCAGAGCTCAGCTTCAAAATCCCGAGCCAGACCTCAATCCACTAGTCCTACACATTCACAATCCACAACCCCGAAACCTCGTCCTCCAAACCCAGGCGGGAAATATCCTTTCTGCAGCTGTTTTACAAAACCCATACCCAAAACTGATGAGAGATCCCTAAACCTCACAAGCCCAAGCTTTGTCCAAAAACCTTGCAATGCGCAACCTCAAGTTCTAGAAGCCCGCCAATACCCTACCATCTCATGTATCGACTCCTGAACCAAATCTCTACAATCAAAACATCCACCAAGAAATCCCAAGGCTTCGGCTCTGTCGCAGCTCGGCCAAGGATTCTTCCGCCTCCCCAGGCCTGGGGCCTTTGCGTGTGGCTGCCTCCAGCTGCTTCCATGGTAGATGCCAGATTATCCTCCTTTTTGGGCTTGATGGTAAGATTGTCTATGCCGTATATACACATGATTACAGACAAAGCACCTACACACTTCGACTGGATGCACCTTTAGAATGTGCCAGCAACCTTGAGGCTCATGGTCCTGGTGAAAGTCCGCGGTGCATGCAATCAAACATGCATCTTCTCATGGGCCTTTCCTCTTGTTACACACGTATGATTCATCTGACCTTAATCCTTAAAAGCCCCAAGCTCCCCGTAGACTTTGCATCTTCAATGTTGAAGATCTTGGAATCAATGCGATTCTCTAATTCTACTTGGAGGGTGGCGGGGACTTAGTATGTAGGTTAGTGACCCCTATAAACTTTACAGCAGCCCTAATTATCCCCAGTATTAACCTACTTACTAAGTCCACCAGATCCTCCAAGTATCCTCCCAACTCTACAAGCAAAAGCAACGGTCGGAGGAATCATCCGAAAGCCAGATCCCCTCATACCAATATTAAACAACCCCCCGTCCTGAAGCAATATATATGTCCCCCAATATGTAAGGTCTACTGTGGGAAATACTTAATAGTACCGGTGCGGCTGTTTAACATGAGTATGGAGAGATTCATCAGAAATCTGCACAAGGAGCCTCCAGCGTGCTGAGCTGGATTGGGTCCGCCATCGTCTCAACCCGACTTAACCTTGCACCCAGTGGGAATCTGCAAAGGACCGTCGGGTACAAACTTCCTAGAAAGCAACCCCTGTCAATCCTGGGCAGCCAGCTGTAACATCTGCCAAAATCAACTTGGATATATTGGGATGATGGAAAAGAACATGGAAACTACTATAGTATATTAGGGTAATATTGAGATGATAGAAAAGAAAATGGAAACTACTATTTAAGGTTTTGGGTGTCTTTAGGCCCTGATCCCTTGCGTGATCGTTTTACCCCGAGGCAAGAGCAGCACACCCCGAGCCGCGCTGGCAAGGTCGAGTGCCTGGAGCTTGGGTGGAAGGATCTGAGGGTTTAGAACTGCGTGAATTTTGTTCTTCATGTTGGAGGGTTATCATTTGGCAGCCAAGGTTCTTGAGATGTGTGGCATATGAGAGTAACCATGTGCTCCGAAAAACTGCCAGGAAATGAATTCACTCAAGCGCAAGAATTCCGGACATAAAAAATCTGTCAGACTCTTGAGCCCCAAACATCTACATGTACTCCGCCATAAGTCCCAGAGCATTTGGGATTCAGGCTGCGACGTCCGGGAGAGCGTGGGAAGCCTGCAGCAGGTTGCAATTTTCCAGCGGATTCAGGCTGTGGACTCACGCATTCGTGCATTTATCACTACCATTACAGAGCTATGCTTCTACTATGACTTGTGCCACGGCGTTTTGCGCACTCCTAGAATCAGGCACCGGAATGTTTGCATCTGGTGTTCCCGGCACCACAGAACATGCAACATGTACTTCCGGTCGCGTTCAGAAACCTATGAAGTGTGAACTTCTCCTATCGACTTGGTAACCGATGCAGCAAACAGAAAACTGAACGGACTAACCTTTCTTGAGGCGGGCAAACCGCTCTCAAATCCGAGTTCCGACAGCAAAATATGCGTCTATTGCTGAGAAGTCTTTCGGCTTCATGCTCCATGAAAACTGAGACATCCCACAAAACAAGATCATGCTAGCCCCAACTACATTGATCTGGCCTTGAAGTCTCATTAACATATACGACGACACCACGGGCAGGCTTGCATGCAAGGAATTGGATTCGTCATTTTGTTGCTTGGCGGGGCTTTATGTGGTGAGGGTAACGGACATTCCGCTGCACGCTGGCATTCCCCAAGGCCGTGCGAAGTGCCTTCGTCTGCAAACAACCACAAATACTAGAAACAGTGCTTGCAAGAACAGTTCTCAAAATCTCTCTTGCTGTGCGAAGCCCAACAAAAGTAAGAACATTGAGAAGATAACATCTCTGAAAGAGTGGCCTGCAGTAGTGCTGCCAGGGCCAGCGGATCCTGCAGGGCCATGACGCGTTCCCCGCTCTGCTCACAAGCACTTCATTCAGTAATGTTTGGAGCATAGAAATACATTCTCGGAGTAGTATGCTGAGGAATGACTGTGTTTTGTGGGGAGTATGTATGGGAACACTGTGCTTTGTACGAGATACAGCATTCAAGGATTTGGGAGGCAAAGCGCGGATAACATCTGATACAATGTCACAGTCAGGTATTCAGATTAATCACCTAGCGCCGGTCAGGCTTCCGAACACGGAGATTTTGCTTGATAAGTCTCGTCATGAGATATGCAAGGGAAAGCTTTTCTGTGAATGCAACCTGTGGGTGAGCTGCGTGCAATCTGTATGCATCTATGATCAGAAGATGGGCTTCGGCTGGAGTCGCGGGGTGCTGTATTCTGAGCGGATTTGGCTTCAAATAAACCTAAGAAAGGTTCAAGCTTCCATGCAGGAAGGTCCGCGACATCGCGAGTCAGCTACTCACCAGGATAGGGTCGCTAGGAGTAGCACCATGTTAGCCAGTCCAGTTGGGACTACAGATTGTTACACCAAGTGCAAGGCGTTTAAGATCAGCAAACTTTCGTGCACAGAGGCAGCCAATCGCCACCAAGAGTTAAACAGACACTCAGAATCTCCCCAAAGCATAGAAGTTTCTGAAGATTCTCGTTCTGAGCCCTCCTATGGCTGGGATAGATCAGATAAAGGTGCTTTAGCCTCTTGATCGGCCTCGATGTGCGCAGCTTGCTTCATGGCCTCCGCAGCAACCTTCTGGGAAGCCAGGGTGTCAGAGGTGCAAACAGACATGCATAGCGCTTTTCAAAAGGTACTCTAGCACTAAGACGGGGGATTAGAGTCCTCGCTGTCCCAACTGCATGCTGCAATCCAATCCAAATGTAGATCTCGAGGATTTTCGTAACAGAGCTTTGGAAGTATCAGCATCTTACATTCGGCAGTAAAGGTCGCAGTAACCTTGTGCAGCTCTTGCAACAAAGAATCCAAACTCTTACGAGGGTTTTCTGGCTCTGAACTGACAACCAACACCATTGGGGTTCCTCGGGGGGGAAACCAGAAACACGCCCGATTTCCTGAATTTCTTGACTTACTACGTGATCTCCGGCCACATCAAAATGATGAGTCAAGTGATGAGGGTTTATGAAGCATCGGAATGCATGTTGTAACCACATGGCAACAAAAGCAATACCTTATAATTGGAAAACGTGCCATGCTGCAGACACTGAGTACTCAGCATCCGAGACGTCACCAGGCGTACGGAAGAGAATGTTGATCTGCAGCAGAAGTGAGCGTGAATTTGTGTATCCAGGTGTCTTATGCCAACCATTGCCACTCGTAATAGAGCGCTTCCTCGCCAATGTTGACAAACGGGCATTTCTATCGTCACGGGAGGGTAGCGTTGCTAGGGTTACGAGAGTGGCGTCCAAACGTCATGTTCTGACACCTTTCATCCTGACCCACTGAGAACTAGCGGGTTGGCGGGTGGGTTGTTTCCTGGAAGCATGAGTTCGAAGGTGCTGTCGAAGTTATGGCTTCACAACCATCCCACAGCGAGGAAGGCCACTGGGGTTTATGACAATCGCACTTCTAGCAGTGACAGTACTGTGTATGACAGCATTCAGAAAACCATAGTGAAGAGTTTTAGTCTTGCACGTTACAAGGGGCTCATTGTGCAGTTAACAAGGTTCCAGCCCTGGTTCGATTTGGGCTTCAGGGTCATTGAGACATTCCGGTGCCTTGCGACATTACCACTTCCAATCAACCTTGACTGTGGCTTCTTCAGCGGAGACACTACGAAATGCCGAGTTCTGTTGGGTGTAGCGGCACTATGGAATCATGATGACCCATCAACCAGCAGGCACTTGTCCAAATCAGCCACTCTAAGAACAAAAACCTCAGGAGTAAGACTGGAGCCCAGCATCCGTTGCGGACTTCAGTGCAATATGAACAGCCTTTGATAGAGGATTTGCAGGCGGCCTCTTGAATTTGAGGATCTCAATATTCCTCAGCATCTCCACAAATACCCATCAAATCCCAAAACCAATCTGCTGCTCCCTTTTAAGTTTCGTTTCCAATGAGTCTAGGGTGAGTACAACTTCAAAAGCCAGAAGTCAGGCGGGGGCTAGCCCCAAAGATCTCAAGCATTAAGCTTTCCCACACGGATGCAGTAGCACATGCCTGAATCTCTACCAGCTCACCTATTTAGTAGGACCACGAGGATACAGCAGCGGCCTCATTTGCAGAGATTGTCTTCCAGTGCCTCGACCAGATCGATCAATGATTAGCCCATCTGCTCAAATACGGTCTATGGTTCATAGTGGCCTTCCATTCTTGGAACCGTTGTATTTGTAGCATGCCCAAACACATGTTGGACAAGAAGACCGTACGGTCAAACAAGGGGAGTTTCAGCGAACTCCTAGGCACAGCTTTGGTGATTTGCCCTCAAGAAAACTACATGTTCAGCAGACCCAGTGCTTCTGGTATGTTATCAGTAACCTTCTCTGTGATGCAACGCGTAGAAACTGCAGTGAAGGCTAACCTGATGCAGAATGGCACGTTCAATGATATCACATAGAGGATGCTCTTATAACGTCCGCAACGCGCATCTGCTTCATATTCACTAAGCTGAATAGCAAGCACAGAGACTGGACTGCGATTGTCGTGGGCTCCCCTAACCAGCCTCTCTCATACTACTCTAGTAGGCCTCTCCCTGAATTTAACTAACCCTGAATAAGCCCAATTAAGGAAAAGCTTTGTGATGGCTAGGGTACACACCGAAGGACTCCTTTCCGCACAAGCTCCTGGATATCACTCCTTAATGCCCTCAGCCACCTGCAACTACCTTTCCTGTGCACTTCTTTCCCTAAACCTCGTAGCCACGGATCTCCAGGTAAGGCCTAGCCACGCGAAATCCACCCTCGGAACCCACAATCCGAGGGCAGAACCTGGACATGGTCGCCAAGGCCGAAGAGGCCAAAGCGCCCACGGCATCTGCAGATTCCTCCTGCAAAATGTGAGAAAGGATGACATGGGATTTAGGCTTGGGCAAAGGTTGTGCTACTCCATCACATTTCAACGTTGATGGCTTCACGTAGAATAACCCTTGCCATTGTGCAAGATAGTAAAACCTGAATGAATCCTATCTGCAATCTCGATTCTTGAGGGATGTCACGAAAGCAATGCAATTCTACAGTTACATGCCTGCACATTCGAAAACATCGAAAATAATCAAGGTGAGTCATGGAAGCAGCAATTGAGAACATAAACGCTGAACTATGCTGTTCTTTTGCAAGGGTGAAATCAACAACAGCTCTGAACAAAAGTCTGAGAGCAGTCATTGTACGAACCAATTGCAGAAATCACATCAAACCATGTGAACATTGGTAGACAACATCTCAAAGTCGTCGTCAGGAAGGTCCTAGGCGTCAGGCCAAGGAAACTACCGGGCTGCAGCATTTATGTCTAATGTCTGGAATGAGGTTGTCTTGAGGTCTGCGCGCATTGCAGGATTGAGGGCTGCAGGAGACACACGTTCAAACTTACATTCTCTTATGTGCAAGGCTTGTGGTCTGGCAGTCTTCAGGGGTCAACGCCTTTTGGGCCATGTGTGTCTCATGGTGCCCTGGTTGTGCGGGTTGGGGCGCGGTTTCTAGCTATAGCTTGGGTGGCAAACACTTACTACATTATACGGCTATCTTAGAGGAGTTGCTTGCGTTCTCAGAATCGAAACGCAGGGTAATGACCAGTCGCAGTAACTCCTCAGAAGTCGTAACTGTAGCCATTTCAATGGGAGTCTTCAGGAGACTTCATGCAACTTTCGCAACCGTCTTGAACACAAAACAGGAACACCCCGAGCCCTACACCTCAAACCCTAAATTCGAACACACAAGCTCCGAAATCCTAACCTTAGTTCATAACTGCTAGAATCGGCACTGCTTTTGCTACTGCCAACATACCGGTTTACATGAAGACTTGTCATATTCGGGCTGCTACCATGCTAGCAGTAATCTTGACACCGAGTATCCAACACTGTCGAAAAGCAAACAGCATCAAAGCCAGAATCTCGACAGACTTATGGTGCCCAACACGTCATGGCTATGCAACCTAACCTCGCCCGAACAAGAACCTTCTTTCAGGAAAGCAGGTTGGTCTAGGGGAAGCTAGATCCCTTCCCAAGCCTCCTTGGCGATCAGGAGGGCGTGCTTGACCTCCAGCTGCACTGACGCAATGACTTCAGTTGTATAGCATGTAGGGTTGATTCGTTTCTCTCAGGTTCTCGAAGGATTTACGTGTGTGAGTCTGTTCAGTATTGTTTTGGCTTTGTTTTTTTCTACAAGCATGGAGGCCTTCAAGAGAACGAGCGAATCTTACTCCCTTTTCGAGACTCCATTCATCCAATGGCTGACTTGGAAGCTCTGTGAGGTCTTCGCCACTGTTAGGGGATCGCGCAAGAGGGATGCACAAACAATAATCACCCGGGCTGCGTTTGAGGATACTTGCAATCGCTTCAGGCAGTTTCCTTGCCTGAAAACTCGAAAACACTCAGTAAATGCACTTGCCAAACGTGTCTGAGCCCTAGGTGCAAATGTTACACCCAAAGTCTGGCCTGACCTAAACTGCTGAGAATCAGGCTTAACAGATTTGACATCAGGATCCCAAAGAGACTCTTCACACCAGGCCCTCGGACAAAGGGACCTTGTCATTTTGCGAAACTCCAACTGTCAGCTCATATGATGTATGCTGAAACACGGGAACATCCCAATGGATTTGTGGAAGCGCATCTCTGAATTGGGAAGATGAAAACCACAACTGTTGTAAAGCTGCAGTAGGAACGGAAATGGTGGAAAGCCAATAAGTCAACCTTCAAACCGACCTCCTTTATTGGAACTTTCACGTAGGCATGCCTTGAAACCAGAGTTCGAAAAGGGACCATGGCTCTCAGAAATCCTAGAGCGCACCATTTCAATTCCTGAACCCCATCAACGAAGGATGCATGAGTCTGAGGAATCCGCTTCTCAAAACGTAGGCAATTTACCAAGGGGCGCGTACTAGCATAGGAACCTCACTCAGTATGAGGACCTGGACTTAGATTCACAACCTCCGGAAATCACAATTTCGTCGCAATGCCATGAACCGTGGGCTTCACAAAAACATTTAGTCTTGAGGGGTTGGGTGGTGGGCAAGATTGGGGGAAGGGATTGTGTTGATGTCGGGTGAATACCTTCAACCTGTGTTGATGTCGGGTGAATACCTTCAACCGCAAACCTTACCATTTTGCTACCGAGTTGTGTGCTGTGCTGGCCGTAAGGTAGGCAGTCGCCAAGGCAACAGCCGGGGCTTCTTTGGCCTGTGCAAAGCACTTGCTAGGGTGTCTGAATTTTGACAGGTTCGTTTTGTGGGTCACTGTCATACAGACCCCGCTATCAGGGTATGCAGGTGGGGCTTGATCTGGAGGAATACTTGCCTCAGGTTGTTACTGCAGCTGCTCCTTCTAAACTCCTCGGGAAGTTTTCGGCGAGTAGGTGTCCTCAAGCGAATAGTTGAATGATATTTCTGCGGCGCATGAAATGCTGGAACTTTCTGTTATCGTTGGCAAGTGACTGGATTGCAGAGTTCTGATACACCGTGCAAACCACCAAGTCAGTACGTCCGGGCAAACCTCAAAAGCTTACTAAATGCATATTCTGAAAGGCTAATGGCTAACCCTTTGATGCACAGTGAATACCATTCAAATCCATGCATGCTTCCCTTCCCAAATTCCGAAAAACATAAACCCTTGCCCCAAAGCCTGTACTCTTCTAGAGTCAGATGCCAAACCCCCAAAGCATATATCTTACTGCAATCTGACGTACCTCCAGCAGCTGCCGCAGCCACGCCTGCAAGGACTCAAGCGCCCAACCCACCACCCAATGTGAATTATTTTCTCTGAAGCATTTTGTAAGATGAGGGACTTGTGGAACATCTAGGGGTTTGGGGGAGTTTCAGGTGAGTGGAAGTGCTTCTAGCAAGATGGTTCTTGCCACTGGCGCTTTCACCATTCTACCTTTATCACTATGCTTACCACTATGCCCTCATTGCTGCTGTATTTGCCACTATGCCCTTATCGCTTATTGACCCTACTGCGGGATGTTGACATGGTAGTTTCCAGAAAGAGGGGGGGCCCAACATGAACACCAAAATACCACGATCCTCATGATGGGACCCTCAAAACGAAAACCCTAATGCTTGGAAACCACCATGTGATCCACTCGAAAATTATGACTGCTCCCGATTCCGCTGCAAAAAGGTGCAGCGCACCAAGACCTGAAACCCACTAGCAATTCACACTCAGTGCACGTGGCATCTATCCCTTAACCCGAAATGCGACGGTCTCTTGACATGGTGCTTGGTGGGATTATCCCAGGCAAGGTTTTCTGAGGAGATTCCAGGTGCCGTGCAGCCGGTGCTAATGCGAACAAGGGCCACTGGGATGCAGGGGCTTTGGGGCACATATCCTAAGTCGATTTGCCACATGCTTATCTTGGCAAGACGCTTTTGGGATGTCATCCCAAAAGCCCGCAACTTCCACCTCCACAGTGTCTCACAGGCCAGTCAAAATCGCTCAATTCTTGTGCATCTTCCCAAAGAAGTCCAGGCCTCTGCAATACCCGCCAGGCTCTTGCAAGCCTCGAGGTCGCCGCAGGCAGCTGCTTGTAGGGGAAGGTCCTGCCTGGGCGAATTTTAGACTTGGCGTGATTCATTCCATCCCTTGGTTCAAGACTTCACGGCCAGCGTGCTTTGCAAAGTGGTTTTGGTTTGAGATCTAAGGCAAAGCGGACTGAGGCATGTGGACCTCAGGCTTAAGATAAAGTTCGCATTGGGGAGTCTGGTATAAATCGAGATTCCCCCAAAAAGTTCATCAACAAGACCCAAAACCTCGGACCTCACAGTCGAGGATGTTGCAAAGCTGATTGGGCATAAGCTCTGCAGCAGAAAATGCCAAAGAGTTTTCTGAACTCGCTATAGCCTTGGCCCTGAATCGCTGAACCCCGAATTGGAGAATCAGGATGGGCCTGTCTGAGCAAAGCGTTACTTGGGAATTGATAGTTGGAAGCATGGCTGGTTGTGTCAGAACTCGAAGAAGGAAGGCTTTGCTGACATGACAAACTGCGGAGTCCCCGTTTTGGAAAAACACTTGCGTTGCGCGCCTTGAGGTTTCCAAAAACAGGGTCCCTTTTTGGATGTCTCCATAGTAAGGGCTATAATACCTTGGAGTACATACAGGTGAACCCCGAATTTCGGAAATACCTATGTTGGCTCTCAGCGCCCTGCAAGATCTGAAGCCGCACCTCGATATTCGTGGAGCCTCAAAGACTCGGGCAATGCAGGGGCCCGAAGGATCAAACAGGATTCTTACGCTGAATTTGGATCTTTGATTCTTCATTCTGGTTTTCTGGCAATAGCATTTTGGCATATCTTGATGCTTGTCGTTCAAATTCCGACAGGCTCAGCCCACAAATCTGGACTCCAACAGCAGGATCCAGATCTTTGCTCAATTGCAACCGTATCTTGCCTGTAGGGCTGGAGATCTGCACCCCGCAGACTCAAGGTCTTCTTTGGACAATCTTCTTCGGGTTGGGGCCTTGGATGTGATTTTGGCACATGGGTTTGCTGCATGCCTTTGTTGATTCCTTGAGCAGCTGATCAGTGATGCTTGGTGTCGCATATACGCTGCGTCCTTCACAACAGAAGTACTCAAATCCTATAGTGTCAGCTAAACATGCAGGATCTGCAACAACCAGACAAGCAATGTGGGAACAGACTCTGAACTGCAGGATATTCCCCAAAGGCCGACGCTGAAATGCTACTACTGCTTTGCCCCCATCTTGTGGTATACCTTTCGAACTGGTCCCCTCCTTTCTCCCAAAACAACTCGGGCCCCTTGTGGGGTTCCTGCCCATTTGCACCACCATTTAGGTTGAGGTGAGGTGTTTGCGCTGTTGCTTACTTGAACCATAAGCCTTAAACTCACAATTCCTGAAACTTACTGGTTCTTAGTAGAGAATAAAGGAATTCAATCCCTATAAGATTCCTACATAATGTGTTCCCTTACTCCCAACCCTAAACCCTAAATCCTTATTCCCTACCAACCCCCAGCAAGCAAATCGGAGCTCCCAACTAATGTCAGAGCTTGCGGAGCTGATCAAATCTGTGTCCGCCAGCATGCCTGAGACTAACGGTTTTAGAGTCTGAGCTTTGGGGTTTAGGGTTTAGGGTGTAGTAGCATTACTGAGGGTTTGGTGGGGCCCATTGCTTGGGGTTTGGTGGGGCCATTTTGAGTTGAACATTTTTTGAGATTAAAGAAGCTTGAGACCCCAAACTACGGGTAAGTTTATATGGCTCGAGGGTTTAGGTTTTAAGGTTCGAGACTTGGTCTGAGTTGCGGGTACCATGGTATGGATGTAGGAGTCAGAGGCTGGTGATTTCAGCAAATTTGGGTGATAGCAACTAGTGTGAAGCTACACGCAACTGGGGGCTCCTCCGATTGGCGCAGCTTCCAAAAAAAGAAAAACTTGAGCCCTTCTTGTAAAGGCAATATTTCTCCGCGACGGTCTGCGTGTGTTGCGAAGGTGTGCATTCTTGGGACGTGCATTCTTGGGACAAGGATGGGTTGGTAGTTGACTGGATTCGACTCTGAATTTTTGCGGAATGTAACTGTTGTTGGCTAGCATAGGATTAGGAATTAGGGTTGTGAAGCCGCATTTGTCCATCTCCCCAAATCCGCCATTTAAGCAATATCTTGCCTCATCACATTGTGCAAGGCACCAGTGGAATAGCGGCTCAAAGGTTTTCCCCGGAACTTTGTATGGAATGGCAGGATGGATTATGCGAACATTCCTTGGGGATTCTGCAGCGAGCACTCCCCAGCTCCTTTTTAAACTCCAAGGAATGTGCTTCATCGAAACCAAGTAATATCTTCTTTTGAGGAGGTCTTCTTCTGGTCTGCCATTCCACCCTGGTGTTCTGAGGCCGTGGCTGCAGAACATCATCACATAAGCACAAACCATATTGGTCTACAGTATTCCTTATCGACAACAGGAATTTTTGATTACCTTTACAATTTCATTACATACTTCAACCGTTTTTCTGGTCATCTCTATTTTGAAAGGAATCGGACATCAAGTGCAAGGGGCTACTTCAAGTATGCCTTTAAGCTCCGTTCTATTGCCGGGAAACTACCGCCTGCAAACTCGTAAGAGAGACTAGATGAGCCAATCCCCACGAGACCGAAAAAAAGAAGATACCAATGACGTCTGAGACTTCCTTCCAAATCTATCCTGCAATGGAATCCTTGCGGTTTTTCAGGTGCAATTGCGTGGGCCCTGTGCTGTTTTTGTTTGAGGATATTCGATTTTCCTGTACTTGGATGGTCAGGGGAATTAGTCCATAAGTCTGGGGAATCGGTGTAACCAGGCATGCAGTGGTTTTGAATTCGCTGTCTAAGACCTGGTAACCATCCCTGGCCCCTGACCCTCCAAGTGCACCAACCCTAAACCCTGAACTATAACCGCACGCTACAGGAAGATGACACCCTGAGCGCAGAGCGTCGAAGATGGGAGTCGAGCTGGCGGCAAGCTCGGAAAACCTTGGACTAGAGGATGACGGAGCCAATAAGCAAAAACAACAAATTACCGTGCTACTGTTAGGAACGATCTGCAAATTAGGACCAGTGCGGTTGATTCTAAAACTCTAGAGCTCCTTCATAACCTTAAGTATTTCCGTGATTACTGACTGCCGTGACTTGGGAGTCTCCCAAGAGGCGGGGGTCTTGGCGAATCTGGGGGTATATATGGATTTCGCAGAGATCATGCGGGCCCCTTTTTGAAATTCTATAAGGGGAATCTGAGAAACTACTTTTTGACCTTGCAATCTAGATTCGAGAAAAGCCGGTGCATGCTTGAAGAGTTCTCACATGTATGAGAAAATCCTAAAACAAATCATACATACATGTACATATCTACATATAGGTGTATTTCTGTACATATATATACAGATCTCTCTATGCATAGATTCATAGATACAAGTGCGTACAAGATGAAACTCGGAAGGCGTCGACACTAACCCGTAAACCCTAAACGCTAAAACCCTAACCCTAAACCCCTAAACCCTAATACTAACCCTAAATCCTAAACCCCTAAACCCTAAACCCTAACTAGGGTTTAGGGTTTAGGGTTTGACTCTGAAGGAGCTGGGTTGCCGGCTGGCTCCCTGTCTTTGGCCTGAGACTCCAAGAGGTTCCAGTGAAATGGTAGTTTCTCAAAACAAGGGGACCCCAGTATAGACCCCAATATACTATAACCCTTATTATGGGAACCCCAAAGAAGGTACCCCTAATTTTGAGAAACCCCCAAATTACTGTTGATACTACAATTCCTGCATGACTTTGATGTACTATAGTGCCAGGATTCCCCAATCCAATTTACTTAGGGCCATGCAGAATGTTTTTTCATCCGCTGCGGGAAGTCAGCAAAACTTCAACTGAGCATGTATTGTTGCTCAGAGAGCGCTTTCTGATTCCGTATGAAAACAACATCCGCGTCCTTCCAGGATGTTGCTATCCCCACCAAAGTGATCTTTATGATAGCGCTGGAGGCTTCAATTTTTCCACATGTTGTTGCTTGCAGAATCTGCCAGGTTTCATCATACTGCGGATAGTGATCCCGAAATCACTCGAAGTACATAAGTAGCAAAAAATCATCACCAGCACAAGGAACCAGACTTGATTGATGTGGACTCCAAACTCCGAACCTCAAACCCTACATCCTAACAGAATCCTCTACAGGTACCATCCGCTATGGCCTCGCGCTTGCACAAGGCTGCCAGTACGGCCTCGTGCGGAAAACAGGGAGAGGTGTCCTCCCGCCTTTTTCCGCAGAGCTTCCTAATGTTTCATGACCTAGACTGTAGCTTAGCATACTTAGCTCACTGGGACTTTTATCAACAACGGGAAGGCAGGTTTGGGCACAGCGGATATTATTCTGCACAACCTGCAATTGCCCTGTACCTAATTAACTTTAACGGATGCTGGCAGAAAGGAAATATTTCTAGGGTTGGAAGCGCGCAGCCCTGGTGTGGGCTCTTGTCATGTTTTGCAGATTTTGGAAAAATACAAGAGATAGAGCAAAGTAAGAAGATTTGGGTATTTCTCCAAATGGGAGCCACCAGGACTCCTTGATACATCCCCAAATACTACATGCGTCTTCTAGTGACCCATGCAAAGCCATCTAGGCCTTCAGATTTAGGCGATGCAACATTTAGAATAAGTATGGGGAAGCCTTCTTTTGGGAAATGACCATGGTTCGCCACATTGAACCCCAACTTTTCAGCAAAAACCTTCATCCCGTACTTGGCCTCTCCGTTTTCATGGCACTGAACAGTTAGCATTCTCAATGCGCTGAACCCAAAAATCTGCCCCAGAAAATCCAAGTCATGAGCTATGCTTGTAATCTCCATTTTTCGGACGCCTGGCATCTTGGACCCATGCTACTTGCAACTGCCAGCATGAGAGTTTATCATGGCCAAAGCCCCCGTACATACCCTGCAAGAAATTCATCAGTCTTGCTACTTCCTGCTACAAGGACCACCTAGAAAGAGAACCGTAAACAGCTAGGCCGCCTTGTAATGTATTCAAATCCCCAACCCTATGCCCGAAACTGTACTAGCTGCTTGTCAAACCGCTTTCAAGCTAATCTGACAGGAGGGTGTCCTTTGCGGAGGCTGCACCGTGAGTTATGCAGCCTCTGCACACATAGGCCCATATAACACCACAGAATCCCGCTACTCTGGCAGTGCTAGGATCCTGCGAAAATGTCTTCACCTAATTCAAAAACCTCAAGAGTTCCAAGTCTCCATATAGGATTCTCTAATGTTGCACGTGGTCGGGACACCGGAAAGCGGTCTGCTACTGGTAGTTTCCATTTTCTTTTCCATTAGCCCAATATATCCCCTATATAACCCTACATATCCCTTTAAAGGGCCCCTAAATAAACCCTATAAAACCCTACATATCCCTTTAAAGGGCCCCTAGATAACCCCTATAAACCCCTTTTAGGGGGGGTGGTGAATCTCTTTACGCAAGCCCGTCTTGCCTGAAAAAGCTCCACCGCTTCGTCTCCGAGCACCTTGGCTGTGCAGTTTACGGAATGAAAAAATGGAAAAGGAAATGGAAAAGAAAATCGAGACTAAAAAGTCTCGATTGGCAAGGATATGGGCCTCTAACAGGATCCTTTCCTCCCTTCCCTACTAGAGTCCCCCTTAAGTAGATGGAATATGCTTCTGGGTATATTATAATAAGATCCCCATATATCCCATATTCTATCTACTTAAGGGGGACTATAACCAGTAAGTAGCTGTCCAGGGCTCAGCGTTGGATAGGGCCTTGTGTTTAAGATACTTTGAACCCAGAACTTGTAGCCCCCAGAGTTGAAGCCACGAAAAGGGCTTGGGGCATATATAGGGATGATATACGCATATTGTGGTTTTAGAGTCTAGGAAGGCAGCAGAGCCCTACTGACCCAATAAGGTTTGAATAGCCCTGGTTGGATGTCTGGGACGGGAGGTCGGTTCCCACCCTTAACTCTTTCACTCGAGATCATACCCACTTAAACCCATGACTCCTATATCATCCCCAGCAGGAAGCCCCAACAATCCCAGCATAACCCCTACGCATCTAGAACCCTGAAAGAGACCTATCCCTATCCCTGCATGATCCCCCCATATACCCCTATCACAATACCTGTATTCACTCCCCACTTCCCCTGAAGCCTAGACTGCTCTATTTACACAGTGTCTTAGAGAATTCAGAGTTTAGGGCTTAGGATAATGGACCTTGAAACTCCAGGGATTCCCACGCGTCCCCTACACTATCCTTATATAACCCTATCTATCCTCCGTAGCCCAAACCAGGCACCAGCAAAATGGTAACTTCCCAATATAGACCCCGCCTACTGTAGTCCTTCTTATGGGGACTCCAAAACGGTACACCTAAATTTGGGAAAGCCTGAGCCCTAAACCCTATAGCCCTGAACCCTAAACCCAGAACCCTAAACCCTACACCCTAATTCTGGGAAACCCCCAGAATGACTCAAGGCTTGCTGCTGGCAGCAGCCTTCCGGCTGCACGGGCCGCCAGCGAAAGCCGGCCAGAAGAAAGGCCCTGGCAGGTTCTCTCGGTAATAACTGTAAGAAAACAAATAACAGTAGTAATACTACTAATAAGAATACTAACACTAGCAACAAGAACAATAGTAATTGTCAAAATACCAATAGCAGTATTCATAGTAATAATAACAGTAATGATACTATTAGTAAGAATAATAGAAGCAATAAGATTATGCATAGTAATAATACTGATAGGTTCGCTTGTTAAGGATTTTGGCTTGAGGATTTCGAGCTTCAGGGTAAAGGGTTGGCCCTGGCAGATTCTCTTGCTAAATAATGCTGCAGAATGTTGAAGACTACCGCCAAGGTGTTCCACGAAGAAACTGCGTTTCGTCTGGGCACGTGCTGAGGTCACGCTTCTTGTTTGATGTGGAGGCTGGAAGTGCGGGAGAAGGAGACAAAGCAAAATTGAGCCCACTTCTGCTTGAGTGGCCCTTTGTGAACATGGTTCTACAACATTCCTCTTCATACTGGAAGGCTGAGCTTGACCTTGTCAGTTTGGATGGAGCGCAGGATCAAGCTGAAAACTCTAAATTCCAATTGCACGTTTGAAATAGACACTTTCTCTTGAGAAAGGAACCTGCAACTATGCAAGCATGCAAGGAGAGGGAGCTGACAGACTATGTAGAATGATAATCCCTCTCAAGGTGGGGTGCTCCGAACATCCCCAACCTCTGATTACGAAGACCTTTGTGCATCAGAAAAGCCTAAACAAGGGAGACACATGCTGCAGTCGGCTCAAAAATGGTTAAGGAGTAGTGCTAGCCACCAGCTGTCTCCCGGAAGCTTCTAACTCTGCACACCCAGCGAACCCGCTGGGCTACGTCCGACTTCAGCTGCCTGACCCGTACTAGTAGCCTGAACTTGTGGATCTTCTGGCATTGTCCTACAAACCTTTCATCCGCTCATGGGACCACCAAATTTTATCCTAACTAAGTCCTGCATTAGAGATGTGGAAGGTGCTTTCATAAAGGCTGCCACAAAACAACCTATCGCAATTCGAGGATGACCGAATAGGACCCTGTAGCTTGCGACAACCCCCTGAATGGCTTCGAGGACTCATGCTTGCTCTCCAGGAACAGGAAACCCAAAGGGATCCGCCAAATGGACACCCATAGCTTTAATGGCTCAAGTTTCGACCTCTGTAGGGTGCTTTTATGGATCCCTCTGGGGTCTGAGCTTTTTGTGGCTGCAGATTGTCGGACAGTACCGGAGTCAAAGGCAGCAAAAACAACGGAGCTGGTCTGGGACACAGCATCGCTGAACCTTAGACATCTTAACATTTAGGGTTAAGACCTAAGGGAAGCCCCAGAGCTTTCCCCATTTGGACAGAGAAAGGAGCTTGGGCAAACTTCGGTTCTCTTTCCAGTAGCAATCTGAAGTAATGGCTTCATGCTTACATACCTTTCATATTGCGCCTACCCTCAGCCCCGGGAGGATCTAGAAACATGGTACTCTGTGACAGTACCCTAAATCCGAAACCCTAAACTGCGTAAGAAACTTTGATGAGGATCCACTTTCCGGCTCCTGGGCCTACTTTTCGAAAACCCAACATAGACCCCACATTTTACCTATACAACGGCAGACTGTTGCATCTAAATATGTACAACTATATATAGATATAACTCTCTCTATATACATATATATATAAATACATAGTTGGGTATTTGGGAAAGCAATATTGCGACATGCACTATAGTAGGAACCCCAGTATTGGGACTTACATTATTTTGGGCAGGTCATCGCATGCAATGACTCAGATAAAGATAAGCCAGTTGAGTAGGTTTTTTTGGGTGGTTGGCCCCAGTAAGATTATCTTCCTTATATAAAATACTACACCCCAAAAGGAGGATAGAATCTTACTCTTTATGGGGTACCATAATATCCCCAAATAAAATACTACTCAGTTGGATGGTCCTGGCAGATTGAGTGAGTCCAGCTGTCTCATCGCGTAGTCACCTTTCTCCTTCTACTGACCCCCAAATGAAATTCATGGTAGCCCAAACCCAGACCCTCTAAAAGGATCCAAAAAATGGACCCCCCGAATAATCCCCTAGTTTCTCTAATGTAGTAATGGGTTCAGATTGGGGGGGTTCCATTTTTTGGATCCTTTAGGGGGTCTGGGAAGCTGCCTTGAAAAAACCAATACCCCAACCTTGGAGATGAGAACTTTTGGCATGAGTCATTTCAAGCCTGCAGGATGGCAATGAAATTTCAATGACGAAAGGTTCGGCAACAAAGGAACAAAGGAAAACCCCTGCACAAAACAAAGGGATCTGCAACTTTGGGGAACTCTTGTCGAACAAGATTTCGCAAACTCGCCGAACATCGCAATGACATGTCTTCTGCTATGTTGCTTTAAGTTGACCAGTAATCTAGACACAGTCCAACAGCCAGGAACTTAGATGTTCTGGTTGGATTACTTGTTGAAGTTCTGATTGAAAGGCTCCTTGGTCGCTGGATGAGCGTTTGTGAGTTGGCGTGCCTATGAATTTGGATCGCATCATGACGGGGTATGGAGTGGGACTGTATTGGCAAGCACAGAAGAAACCCTGAATTGCTGAACTCTCAGGCCCGTCTCTGCGCGCCCTCGAAAGGGCTGCAGTCTCAAGTGCAAACAAACTTGGAGGCTCGCTTCCAGCAGCATCTCAGGCGACTTTGGTGAGACTGTTTTCTTTACATACTACTATACCCAAGGGAGGATATAATCTTATTCTGAAAATTGGGTACCATAGTATCCCCAAATAGAATACCACTCATCTGACAACAAGAGTTGCCTTTAAAAATGTAGGGCTCTGCATACCTAGAATAAGGTTTGAGCTATATCGCCAGTGCGTGGGGACAATCTTTTCCACTATTCAGGCTTCTAGCCGTGAGCAAGTGCCATTCCAGTCTCATCTTGAAGCCAAAAATTCTATCGCTCCATTTCTTAAAGCTTGGGCCTGGAGCTGGCTCTTCACCTGGTTATCTCTGCACAACCCTTGAAGCACCAACTGGACCCTAAGCCCTGAAACCTGCTTTCAACCTTGAGACGGCTGTGGAACGAACCGGGGCAGCTCAAAGCGGGGGTTATATAGGGATAATGGAAAAGAAAATGGAAACTACTATGGCTCTGTGAAAATGAGGCTAAGCTCGATAGGACAGGGGATTCTTGGCAATCACAACAATAATTGTGGGGGTTTATCATTTCGGGGTTGGGGGGTTGATACTTCGGAGAAGTGTGCTAAGGGTTTTTTGGCAAACCCAAACCGCAAAATTGCAACCACATTATCATCCTCTGACAGTTGAGGGGTGCTGATTTTGCTGCCATGACCCTTAACTAACTAGGAACCTTCTGAGGAGGACTTGAGATGGGCTCTGCTTCGGGGTTCATGTTCATCTGGGGTGGGTGTAGGGGGTTGGGGTTTCAACTTCAGAGCTTAGGTCTTCAGAAGGGGTTTACTGGATCCTTAAAGGCTGGAATATCTGAATCCATGTGAAAAATATGGGTTTCATATCATGTGAAAAAGGAGATTCAGCTGAGTCTGGAGGTTGAGGAGTTGTGGAGTTTCCAGGGTTTAGGGTTCATGTACAGCATCTAAAAGGGGTTATGTAAGCGCTTGCGAGCTTATGGTTCTACATGTTCGTTGTTGCTGTTTCATCCCGCACTAGCGATTAAATTTAGCTCCCCCAAATATTGAAATGAACCAAATGTTAGAAAGTGCCAAAGTGCAGAAAAGTCCTGCGAACTGTTGCAAAGATGTGAAGATTGAGAGTTCCCTATCGGTTGGCCATTTTTCTGGAAAGCGATATGGTACTTTCCCAAAATAGGGGAACCCCAACATAGACCCCAAAATACTATAGCCCTTATTCTTGGGACCCACAAAATGGTACCCCTAATTTTGGGAAACCGCCATATGGGGCAAAGCCTGGATCAAATCACAAGCGAAAAAAGGAGAGAGCTCCGAGTGCAGCCTCGTTGG